GACTCAGTAGGGAAATTTACCACCCTTACACAGGCACTCACAAGCCACCCACCTATCAGGTCACTCATCTGCATACCTCCTTAAAAAATTAAGAGATTAGCTAAAAAAGTGGTTTCAGGAGGACCCCCGCTTTTCAAAATGCTTGAAATTCATTTCAAACCACCGTCATAGAAATGATCAGAAGGTTGAATTCCACCGATCATTCCTACATGCGTGGGGGGAGATTTTTGCCCATTCTTCCCTCCCACAGTAGAGCCCAAACTCCCTACTCATGCTGTCCCTGGGGTATCCTGTCCCCCGGGAACAGCATTTTAGGGGACAGCAGAAAAGTTGCACTCTGTTGACGGAAATCCTTCTGTCAGTGGAGACTTTCAACAGGATTCAGACTACTGAGTGTGTCACAGATCTGGACAAATTCAGACAAGTCCAAGAGGACAGCAGTATAAGTCCTAGCAAAGTCAAGGACACTACAGACAAGGAGGTTTCCTTTTAAAATGTGGAAGTGTTGTCTAAACGAGATACATAAAAAAGAGCACAAATTCTGATATAAAATGCAAGTTGCTGAAACAAAAAAAGAAGGCAGCATATATTAACCATAAAAACAATTTTTTTAAAATGTATTTACATATATTTGAAGCGGGAAATTAATCAGGGAAGTGGCTGCCATGTCAGTCTTCCACAAAGCCATGAAAGAATTACCAAAGGAAGCTAGGGAAATCTCAGTGAAGCAAAAGAAACTATGTTGCTGAAACAGCTCTGTAGAAGACACAGGAAAGATGCTCATCCCTAAATCCCTTTTTTGGTGGGACAGCATCTGAAGAAATGAAGCGATGCCCATTGACTTCAGTGGCTTTCAAAGGGGATTAGTCAAACTTGTGGAACAACAGGTCTATCAATGGTTCCCACGATAATTAAAAGAAACCTCCATGTTCAGAAGGAGTGCACCTCTCTAAGCAACAACTGTCAAGATACAAACATGAAAGGATGTTGCCCCTCCATGCCTTGTTTGCGAGCATCCTGGAAAAATCTGTCTGGCCACTGAAGGAAACAGGATCTGTGGAGCAGATGGACCCTCCCACCTGGCCCTCCAGGGCTCTACTTACACACCTGTGGCTATTGACTACAGACTCTCCTGTGCTGTTACTGGGCAAACTGGGCCTCTGTGGGCTGCATGGGCTGGCAGCACGGAATCCAGGAGATGAAGGAGAGTAGGGACTGCTGGGCCATGGGCTGATGGAAGCTGGGCTGGAGTAAGAAGATCTCAGTGAACTCTGACCGTCATCTTTGGTTCTTAGAGAATCCTATAGGAGAAGGCCACAAAGAGTCAGGCAGATATCAAAAAGTACAAGTTGCAGACTAATGACCGATGACGTTTTTGATACCCAAAACGGAAATATTAAGTGATGCACCTGCACAACAGTAAAAATGTAGTAAACCAAATAACTGGCATTTGAGACCGTTTAATGTTACCACCAAAATGTATTGCCCTACCCTGCCACTGGTAGGGCAGACCCTGCTCAGTGCAACTTCACCTTATGAAGCTTTTTGTCTGGGGGCACTAGCACTCCATGATGGGTGCCCTATATTTTCTCTTCTGTATACACATAAAGGCAAGCAGCCATTCAGAGCTGTCACCAAGGGTCACATGGTTGGGAATCTGTTGGGGACCATATCCTGGCAGAGGGCCTACCACTGACCAGATACGTTTGGACCATCTTTTCCCAACAGGAATGGAACCTTGGCCCAGGGACTTTTGGGAGAGTCTGCCCAAAGCAGTGCCTGGAGAAATAAGCAGGTCATGACTCTTCTGCTCTCTTTTAAGCCCTACAGGCACCAGCGGGTCTTAAAGAAATACAGAAAGGGTTGCGCTCTGTTGCCTTCTCCAGGATGGAGTGTGCGCATGTGTACATGAGGGGGCACCATGCTTAAGAGTAGGGGAGACACTGATCCTTGCCCAGTCCTCCCCCACATAAAGTCAGCCCCACATTCATTATTCTTCTTTATCTTATTCCTAAAATCTTTGCACACTGATGGGTGTTGAAATGCCAAATTAACTGTAAGACTCAACCATTCAACGTTGAAATGCCAAATTAACTGTAAGACTCAGACTCAACCATTCAATGAAATAGGTTTTATAATTCTTGATAATTAATTATCTTGATAAAACAGGGGAATGGATAAACAATTTATCTGGCAAAACCTCACTCCACTTCACTCCATCACATGCTCAATACAAATACTATATAGGTTGCATCTTACTCTGGCCAGAAAGTAAAAGAGATAGCATACAAATCTGGGCAAACACTTCCAACACCAGACTGATGGAATCAATTTTTTATTCTTATTTACAGTGGAACGATTTGAAAACAAGCTGTGAAATGGTTTGTTAGATTCTTGGATATAAAATTATTTATGATTCTTTTACATACTTGATCACTCACTATCAACCAAAGACTCTCTGGCAGGCACTAGTTGCAACTAATAATGTTTGAGTGATAGCACTGGAAAACAGACTCTACTTCATCAGTTGGGGAGTGATCAAGGAAGATTCTTGATGCTGTCGAGATGGAAACTCTTACAGAAATTTTACAGACATAGAACGAATAGAGAGCACAAACTTAGCAGTTAGAGATCATTTATTGATGACCTCAGTGTGTAATTGATAACAGCTGCTGTTGGGTTGACTTTTTTGTTGTCTAGCACTTTCCTATATGATGGTAATAGTATTTTTCTTTTAATACAATGCTAAAAAATGTTAAAGGGATATTGCTGGTATGAGCTCTATAAATGTGAACGTAACAGGCTAGGGGAATAATTCTTAATTGCATCTCCATGCACACAACTATGCATGGGTTAACATGTACACGGGTTAAAGAGATCAGGTGCCCCAGTACAGAAGTCCATAAACTTTAATCCTGCATTGTCAAAAAAACGTATATGGAGGTAAATGGATTGCTCACCTGAAATCGTATGCTCAGCATCTCTGGGGAACTTTCACCATTGGTCTGGCTGGGAGAAAATTGCTGAGACCTGAAAATGGAGTGAACGGATCCTTAGAAAACACATTCTAATAACTCTCTAGTCCTGAGCAATGCGTGGACTAACAACTACCTAAACCTTTATACTTAAAAATTACAAGGCCTGATATAAACGGTTGCTCCCTGTAATATTTCTAGGCGTTTCTGAAGATAGTAAAAAGGTAAAGGTTCCCTTGCTCGAAAGCCAGTCAAGTCCGACACTAGGGTTGCGGTGCTCATCTCCGTTTCAAAGCCGAAGAGCCAGCGCTGTCCGAAGACATTTCCGTGGTCATGTGGCCGGCATGACTAAATACCGAGGCGCACGGAACGCTGTTACCTTCCCACTGAAGTGGTACCTATTTATCTACTTGTACAGCCACATAATTCCAAATCCAATTCACTCAGCACTGAGTAGGTTCCATAATTAAAAGTAACGGGAAGGATGCTGTGTCTGTAATACAGAATGAATTGTCTTCTGCAAAAACTGGCTCATCATATTCATAACCACCTTCCCCAGAAGTTCTAGGCAGTTAACAAATTAATCCATAAAATATATTGACAATTTATCTGGCAAAACCTCACTCCACTTCACTCCATCACATGCTCAATACAAATACTATATAGGTTGCATCTTACTCTGGCCAGAAAGTAAAAGAGATAGCATACAAATCTGGGCAAACACTTCCAACACCAGACTGATGGAATCAATTTTTTATTCTTATTTACAGTGGAACGATTTGAAAACAAGCTGTGAAATGGTTTGTTAGATTCTTGGATATAAAATTATTTATGATTCTTTTACATACTTGATCACTCACTATCAACCAAAGACTCTCTGGCAGGCACTAGTTGCAACTAATAATGTTTGAGTGATAGCACTGGAAAAAAGACTCTACTTCATCAGTTGGGGAGTGATCAAGGAAGATTCTTGATGCTGTCGAGATGGAAACTCTTACAGAAGTTTTACAGACATAAAATGAATAGAGAGCACAAATTTAGCAGTTAGAGATCATTTATTGATGACCTCATTGTGTAATTGATAACAGCTGCTGTTGGGTTGACTTTTTTGTTGTCTAGCACTTTCCTGTATGATGGTAATAGTATTTTTCTTTTAATACAATGCTAAAAAATGTTAAAGGGATATTGCTGGTATGAGCTCTATAAATGTGAATGTAACAGGCTAGGGGAATAATTCTTAATTGCATCTCCATGCACACAACTATGCATGGGTTAACATGTACACGGGTTAAAGAGATCAGGTGCCCCAGTACAGAAGTCCATAAACTTTAATCCTGCATTGTCAAAAAAATGTATATGGAGGTAAATGGATTGCTCACCTGAAATCGTATGCTCAGCATCTCTGGGGAACTTTCACCATTGGTCTGGCTGGGAGAAAATTGCTGAGACCTGAAAATGGAGTGAACGGATCCTTAGAAAACACATTCTAATAACTCTCTAGTCCTGAGCAATGCGTGGACTAACAACTACCTAAACCTTTATACTTAAAAATTACAAGGCCTGATATAAAAGGTTGCTCCCTGTAATATTTCTAGGCGTTTCTGAAGATAGTACAGCCACATAATTCCAAATCCAATTCACTCAGCACTGAGGAGGTTCCATAATTAAAAGTAACGGGATGCTGTGTCTGTAATTCAGAATGAATTGTCTTCTGCAAAAACTAGCTCATCATATTCATAACGACCTTCCCCAGAAGTTCTAGGCAGTTAACAAATTAATCCATAAAATATATTGCCATAAATCGTTCACGCGCGTATTACAGAGGTTCTGCACAGCAAAAAATCTGATATTTTCTCTTCTTCAGAGTTTCATTGTTAGTTTGTTTTCCTTTTGTGGCATTTTTTGTGTTATATTCTAGTTGTCGGCAATGGGAGTGCAGTCTTTGTAGTATGGATGGTCTTTGCGTTTTTATTCTGCGATTACTCCAGTATGGCAGCCCCAATGTGGCTCTGGGGGCATAACAAGAGGAAACTCCTCACATGTTCTGGTTGACTGTCATTCCCCCCCCCCCTGTTAATTTGAACAGAAAGAAGAAAGCCCACTGGAAATGTTATACATGTACACACACACACATATATATACATACACACACACACACATACACACACACGCTAACTTCTGACAAACTCTGAGAAACGGGGGGCGGGATAATTTTAACATGTACCGATTTAAGACCTCCTGCTAGAAGCATGCATGCAACTAATCCCTGTGTGAATCTGGACTGGGTTAGTCACAGAAATTCTCTCACCTCACACTTGATAAAAAAACCCCATGCTGATGGTGCTTCTTCAACAGAGACAGCTTGCCTCTCCCACAGGGTGTTCGCTATACGGCTTTCAAACGAGGCACAGATGGTGTGTCTGTGCACTACCCTAATTCTGTTGCCCTCCTCCAGGGAGAACACAGCAGCCTTCCCATACCAGGATCAAAAGCAGCCTTATTCCACTCCCACCTTCCCTCCATCACAGGAGGTGCGGGCTACAGCCGCAGTGCAAGAGGAGGGGTTGGATAAGTCCCCTGCCCCCAGTGCCAGACTCTGAACTTGGGGGGGGGGGAACAGAAGAAGTGCAGCTTCTTTTATAGTCTCTCTCAACAGGAATGTATTTGGGGCTTTGATGTAGCTGGGAGCTGGAATTCATTAAGGGGAATTAAATCACGGGGGGGGGGAGGCAAACTGCAGCGAGATGGAGAGAATGTAGAATAGGAAAGGCCCATAAGAATGGATGGATATGAGGCATGGGCCACATTGTGGGCCTGGACAGACTAGATCACTATGCTACCTAAGTGTATTTCAGAGATGGCCAATAAGATCTCCAGGCTATTTTATTCTCCAGATGGCAGCTCTAGTTATGGAAGCATATTTTATCACAAACCCCAATAACCTTTGCAAGTGGTAGGATGCCACAACATAGGTACCATGAACAAATCAGGGTTTCCCAGTCTTGGAGTGAGTGTACTTGGGTGTAGGAAATATGTAGATTTATGTATTACATTAAAAAAAATCAAGAGAGAGATTCAGCATTAAAATGTTGAATAATCCTATTGCTCACAATTTGAAAAACATTATCTTCATTTTGAGAGAAATGGTGGGAATCATGGATTGGTTAGATTAAGCTAGGGCCACCAGGGGCCAGATCCAGACACAGAGTCATCCACCGACTATTCCTGCTATGATGAAAGGTCTACGCCAACCGCCATTCCTTGCTGTGGTGTTACATCAGAGAGAGTACCCAAGTGTAATATATACACTTTTGTGGAAAACCTAACTGACAGAGCAGTAGAAGTTGCTCTGGATTTTGTCAGGGACAAAATCAAACAGGACTCCACTGGTTCCTTAAAGACTCACAAAAATTTATTCTCCCATAAGCTTTTGTGAGTCATAGCTCAGTTCATCAGATGTGCTGGAGACATCTGATGAAATGGTCTCTCACTCACAAAAGTTTGGGGAGGAATAAATTTTGTGAGTCTTTTAGGCACCAGTGGAGTCCTGTTTGATTTTGCTGCTACAGACCAACGCGGCCGGCCATTTTGTCAGGGACAACATTCCTTGAAGAAAAGGCCTCAGTCTGGACTCTTTATCAGAACTGTGAGTCTTTATGCAAATTTAAGATTATCTATGGAAGCTTCAGTTCATAAAAGCTTCAGATTCTATTGTAACAGTCAAGATTATTCTTAAGCAAATAACTGAAGACTTTCTAAGAAGAAGGCTGGCTAACTTGAAATTAGCTGTTCCCCATCACCGCTTCACTGACTGGTGGGGGGGAAACTGGGTGGGGGCCAGTGGCGTACCAAGAGGAGGGAGTGTGAGTTGCCCCGGGTGCAGTTTGAGGAAGGTGCTTGAAGGAAGGCCCTTGAAGCCAGGGTCATGCTGCATCCAGCCAAACATCTTTAATTTTTAAAATGCAGTTCTTGCTGAAGTCATGAGGGGCGCAGGGAAGTCTGAGCAAGCACTCTAGGATCAGCTAGACTTCCCTTTCTCCAAGCCTGAAGCAAACTTGCTTAACAGATTGTACAACCAAGCCAGCAGCTGATAGCTGTTACAGTTAAGTGCCAACCTGCAGGTAATTTTCTCCAATAGTCTAGCCTTTCTCTCTTCCTTTCCTCGTACCCAGCTCATCCAGATCTTGCAAAGCGGTAGTTAGGGTGTTGCAGCGAGATAAAACAACCTTTCCCTTTCTTAATTTCGCTCCCTGTTTTCTACATGTTTCTCATTCATTTCTGTCTCCCTTCACCTAATTCTTCCATGTGTGCCCCCCCCCCCCGCCGCCCTTTATTTTCACTTCTCGGTCTCAAGAAGACCTTCTCATCCCTATCCTGCTTGGTGACAGAATGTATTTAAGAGTAGTACAGTAGCAAACCTTTGTTAATATTATCAGCAGAAGGGACTGGTTCTGCTGGACTTCCAACCCCCTCTTGTTTGGACAGTGATTCTGTACTTGACATCAGCTGGCATTGCCACAGTAGCACTGGGTTTGCTGGGCACTGCACATTGCCCTGGTTCTTCTGGGCTTGCAAAAATCCCCCCTTCCAGTTTCTGCTGCAGAGATTCTCTGGTTTGACTTTAGTCATTTGTCACGATGAAGGATGGGGTCATCATAAGTCAGCTGAGATTTAATGGCCAAAAAAAAAGCAACAGAGAAGGGGATGTTAAAAAATTATCCACCCCAAGAGCCAAATAGGCTAGGTACACCACTGATGGGGGCACACCACCATCATGCTGATATTGTACCAGCATGTGACATCACTTCCAGTGGCATCATTATGTTGGGGCAACACTCTGGGATTCACCCCAAACACTATGGTTCAACAGTAGTAATGTCATGCGCTGGCATCACCAGAAGTGATGTCATGCATTGGCATACCCTAATTCCCTCTGGCACAGCAACTGCAGGCTGAATAGATTTCCTGTTCAGTTCATACTTCAATCATTTTTGAACAGTCGGTAGAGAGTTACAGCGGGAGACCTGGGGCTGGGTATGGACACAAAGGGGCAGTCAGCGATGACAGTGTGACGTCATTTCTGGGGGAAACCCAGATGTCACGCCTCTCTAGGAATCTCTGTGATTCTTAGAGGGGACTGATGTCAGCCCAACAGCCATTCTTTCTCCTCCCACAACCTCTCCAAGGTGGCAGGAAAGTGGAGCTGAGGGCATGGGATCTCCCAACAGCAGCAGGAGGGCTGGGAAACCTGCGTTACAGGCAAACACAGAGCAGAAGTGCGCCTCTCAAAACACTTTTTTAAAAAAGAGCTAGACTCAGGTCTGGAGGTTAGAGAAGAACATACTTCAATATGGGCCTCTCATATACTTGAACACCGCACACACATTTAGGCCCCATTTGCCAAGTTTGCTAAAAGGAAAAAAAAGATTCTAACGTCAAAGTCATATAACAATTGAAGATGGGTTAGGCCTACTCTAAGCCCAACTGGAGCTACTCCCTATGAGTGTCTTCACTGTACGCAAACTTTGCTTTTCATGGACCTGTCTCTATACCTCAATAATAGAAAAAACAGCCATGTGGCATCTTCCCCCACACCCAAAAGACCATCCCAGGGCACAAGGGTTGTATGTGTCCTGCCTTATATTGCTTGTGCAGAGTACCACACAGGCTTGAACGAACCCTCATGTTAGCTGACAACAGTGATTCTGAAGAGAAAGAAGTGACTTTTTGTCAGAAGCACTAATAAAGGACTAGAAACTTACAGGGGGAATTGTTCTATGAAGTCGAATCCCCCAGAACGGTGTTGTTTTTTTGCATAACGATGTTCTTATGAGGCTCCCATGGAATAAGGAGCCGTGGCTCAGTGACAGAGCATCTGCTTTCCATGCAAAAGGTTCAATTCCATGTGTCTCCAGTTAAAAGATCAAGTGGCTGGTCATGTGAAAAACATCTACATGAGACCAAGGAGAGCAGCTGCCGGTCAGAGCAGACAGCACTGACCAACCTTGAAAGACCAGTGGCTAGACTCAGTATAAGACAGGTTCATAGAGAATAGCTTTAGTACTGCACATACGAAGCCTCGGTATGTGCCACAAGAGTGCCAGAAAAGCTGACTCCAAAGACTCCAAGTGCCCCGGGGGCAAGTGTGGCAAAAGGGGCGAAGTTGCATGCTCAGGGGAGGGTGGAGGAGGAAGAGAGAAAGATGAGCCAAAGGTCCCGGAATGAGAGGAATG